TTTTTTGAGGAAACTCCATACTGTTTTCCACAGTGGCTGCACCAGTCTACATTTCCACCAACAGTATACTAAGGTTCCCTTTTCTCCACATCCTTGCCAGCACTTGTCATTTATTGATCTGTTGATGATAGCCATTCTGAGAGGTGTGAGTTCATACCTCATTGTCATTTTAATTTGCATCTCTTGGATGATTGGTAACTGAGAATTTTTTCATATGCCTCTTGGCCATCTGTATGTCCACTTTGGAGAAATGTCTATTTAGGTCCTTTGCTCATTTTTTAATTGAATTATTTGTCTCTCTTTTGTGAAGTTGTATGAGTTCCTTATGTATTTTGGAAATTAACCTTTTATGAGAAGTAACATTGGCAAATATGTTCTCCCATACAGCGGGCTCACTTTTCATTTTGTTGATGGTTTCTTTTGCTGTGCAGAAGCTTTTTATTTTACTGTAGTCCCGTTTGTTTATGTTTCCCTTAATTTCCCATGCATGGGCCTCACTTTTAAAGAGGTACGCAAAGTTAATAATACAAATATATCATATCATTAACACCTCAGTTATCAAATTTGTAAAAAACAAAAGTACCAGCCATTCCCATCATCAGGAACAACGATACCAACACAGTTCTGTTCTCAGAACCTTGTACTTAGTTTTGTCGAAGGTCATGGAAGAAACTGAGTGGAAGCTGAGTGAAAGAGAGTAGACTATATTAGTCTCACCAGGATGCCATTTTGTCCTGATTGTATTACCTGTGAACTTAAAATCGATGCGTTTGTGATTGTGGGATTGAGGGTTGGACCATGACTAATATATCAATCTGTAGGCTCTTTCAAATTTTTCCCCTTTTGAGAACCATGATTTTGGCACTCTAGTATGAATTGCGTATGGGTCCTGTTTACTGATACTGCACTCACCCTTGCAAGCATTGTCCGCGGCTCTTTCTACTGACTGTTACTGGGGGGAGGGGGAGGGTTCAGGCCTAAGAATTCTGTCTCCTAAGGATTTCACCCCAAGTATATTTGCATTGGAGAATCATCTGCAACTAGCTTCTGAGTGAATCTTCAGGAGTCTGTACCCCGAAGTACTAGTAAAGATTAATGCCTTTGCTGTATGTTCCTCATTTTTTTTTGAACAGCACATTAAATTTTTTAACATAATGGAAAATGCATTTAGGAAAGCATTTTTTTTTTCAAATACCAATTAAAAAATAAAATACAGAACCACAAGTGAAAGTCTCAACAAATATTTAAGAATTAATAACATAGTTAATGGTCTTTACACACAAAGCAATAAAACTAGAAATTCATGTTTTTTTAAATTTAAAGAAAATATTTTAATTCATAAGTTAATGTAGAAATCATAATGGAACCTGCAACATAAGTATGTGCCCTGACGGCAAATCAAACCCGAGACCCTTTGCTGCATGGGATGATGCTCCAACCTGAGCCACACTGGTCAGGATCCAATTTATTCCCTTTCAAACTGGAGGCCTGGACATGTGGCATTGCAGCAGGTGCAGCCCATAACTCTTGATCTGTTTCTCCTGCTCGGTGCCCTCACCTGGCCCCACGTTGTTTGAATTCTACCAGGTGGTCAACGGGCTCCTGGAGGTTCAGCGGCAAGCCCAAGAGGGGACATTTTTCACCGTTTTTTAAAAACCTTCAATCATATTTGTGTCCATGTGTGTATGTATAGATATGTGTATGTATACATTTAATTTTATCCCACACATAGATTTGTGTAACCACCAGCACAGTCGAGATACAGACCTGTTTCATTACCACTTCTCATGTAGTTCTTTTTATTCACATCCTTCACACAATTCTTCCCTACCCTGTCCTGTGCCCTGGAAACCACTAGTCTGTTTCCATCATTTTGTTATTTTGAAAATGTTATATAAATGGAATTATACTCTGTAATATTTTGAGAACCACCTTTTTATTAAACAAATTGTCTTTGAAGTCTGCCCATGTTGTTGCATGTACCAATAGTTCATCCATTTTACTGCTGAGTTGTATTCCATTGTTTGGATGTACCAGAATTCATTCAACCACTAACCCTTTGAAGGTATTTTGGGTGTTTTCAATATTTTGCTCTTACTAATAAAGCTATTATGAACATTTATATATCAGTTTTGCATGACCATAAGTTTTCCATGTTCTTTGAGCCCTTCTTTATTTTTGGTGCAACAGGATATTCCAGGATTGTTATCTTTTACTTTCTTACAATTCTGCAGTTAGCTTTTGCACCAAGGGACCCTGGTTCCTTTAATGGAAAGTGGTATTTAGAAACCAAGATATGCATTCTATCTGTGCTTGTTGCTGTTGACGTGTTATTTTTTCCAAACCTTTTCAGTGCACAGAGCCTAGAAGGAGAGGGGGGCTGGGGGGGAGCGTGAGCGCACGCGCTCAGGTGGTGTAGCTCAGTGGTTGAGTGTCAACCTATGTACCAGGAGGTCACAGTTTGATTCCCGGTCAGGGCACATGTCCGGGTTGCAGGCTTGATTCCCAGTAAGGGGCATGCAGGTGGCAGCTGATCAATGATTCTCTCTCATCATTGATATTTCTATCTCTCTTTCTCCCTCTCCCTTTCTCTCGGAAATCAATAAAAATATATTTAAAAAAAAGAAAAGAGAACGTGATAGAGTGTGTATACATACATAAAAATACACCTATATTTTTATCTATGCCTATCTTTTAAAATCTCTGAATTTATACTGGTACCTCTAATTTCACTCCAATACCACAAAATCCATTCTAGTTCTTTCCCTTTCCATATTTGAAATTCTTTTAGCCAACATTGCTCATATAGACATATATTTATGGTATTATTTTCCTTTCTGTAGACCATGGTTTCTTAACATTGTCACTGTTGTCATTTTGGGGCCAGATCATTGGGAGGGTACGGATGGGAGAAGTCTGTCCTGTGCATTGTAGACTCAGATGCCAATTAGTGACCATTAGTTATGACAACCAAAAATGCCCCTAGATATTGCCACATGTCCCCAATGGGACAAACTGCCTTGTTGAGACCACTGCTCTAGATTCTAATTCCACATGTTACATTCCTTGAGCCCGAGGAACTCCCTTTAGCATTTTCTCTTGATTTGGTCTGCTAGTTATGAATTTTGCCTCCATTTGTCTGAAAATATCTTAATTTTCTATTTTTAAATATATTTTCACTGGGTAAAGAAATCTGGCTTGACGTATATGTTTTTTTATCTCTCCACATATTTTTTTCTGCTACATTCTCCTCCCCGTCTCCTTCTAATTTCACATATTGTAAGATGACTTTATATTATCCAATAAGTCATTGAAGTGAGGTTTTTAATCATTTTCAGATTGGATGACTTCAGGATCTGACCTGTCTCCAATTTGTTAAGCCCACCCATAAATTTTTCATTTCAGATATTGTGGTATTTAAAAACCAATACCTTTTTAGATTTTCTAATTAGTTCCTTTTTATAGTTTTATTTTCTGCTGAGATTACTTATCTGGTGCTTTATTATCATATTTTCCTTTAAATCCTTAAACCTTTTTAAAATAACTGTTTCATAGCCCTCTGATAATTCCAAATCTGTGTCATCTTGGATTGGGTGCTCTTGATTGCTTTTTCTCTTTACTCTTAGTCACATTTTCCTGTTTCTTCACAAATGTAATAATTTTTCATGGTATATGGGACATTTTTGGAGTTATGGTGTAGAGATTTTGGATTCTGTTATCTTCCTCTGAAAGAATGTTTATTTTTGATATTAGTAGTTAACTTAGCTGGACTCCAAATTGTCTCTTGTGTTGGGCAGCAGCTAAAACTGCTCAGTTTTTTCAGCCTCTATTCAAGAACTGCAAGGAGAATGTTATAGTTAGTTGGATTGGAGCAAAGAATGTGGTAGAGTACTGAAAGATGAAGTTTGAGAGGTGAACTACATATGAGCCTTGTTGTAGAGCACTGTAGGCTAAAGCCTGATTAGAGTGGATTAAAGAAAGGAAGCAGAAGAAAAATTTGGTACAATGAATTTAATCACAGGGATTGGGAGATAAAATTTTGGGCTTTGTGGGGCACATATAGTCACAGTTGCTGCTGCTTTTCTTCTTGTTCTTCTTCCTTTGTCCTTTCCCCTATATTCTTCCCAACCTATTAAAAATGTAAAACCCATTATTAGTTCACAGGACATAAAAAATAGGCATAGGCTGAATCTGGCCCTTAGCCAGTTTCCTGATCCCTGGTTTACACAGACAACTCTCTCCATGAGTTTTGCTGTATAGAAAGAGAAGAGTAAGGGGAATATAACGGTTAAAGTACTTTTTATTAAGTTGGAGGAAAGAACAGCATTTTTTGCAAGTCAGTTTGATTTAGCCAATAGAAAAGGGGAGGATTTATAATGTAGGAAAAACGGAATTGCTGGAACAATGTCGTTGAATGCGTGAGAGGGAATGGAATCTAGGGCCCAAGTGAAGGGTTTAACTGGGAGCATCCATAGTTAATTGGTAATTTTTAAAATATTTAAGTTTTTTCAGGGATTTCCCCTCCCCCCCCCTTCTTTATCTGTTGCCTAGGAGAGTTATAGACCCAGTAACAGGTAGCACTTCAGATTCAATTCCCAAATTCTTTTTCAAGAAACAGTTTGAATTAAAAGTGAACATAAATTGAAATACTTTCAATAAAGTAACATTGTCAAACTGCAGCGGGAAGGCCGGGGAGGGTTGGGGGGCAGGAGGGAGGGGGGTAAGAGGTCAACCGAAGGACTTGTATGCATGCATATAAGCATAACCTATGGACATAAGACACTGGGAGGTAGGGGAGGCTAGGGGACTGTCAAGGGCAGGGGGTGGGGGGGCGGAAATGGACACATATCTAATACCCTTTGTAATACTTTAAGCAATAAAAAAAAATTAAAGTAACAAAATGTGTTTTTCCCCTAAAAGGAAAAATGTTTGATTATTGGATAGTTTGTTGTGTCTATCTTGAAATTAAGATCATTTTCTTTTCTTTTTTTTCTCCAAAGTGCTGTGTATGGATGCGAAGATCAATTTTGATTCGAATTCAGCTTATCGCCAGAAGAAAATCTTTGATCTCCAGGACTGGACTCAGGAAGATGAAAGGGACAAAGATGCAGCTAAGGCAGATATCAACTACATTGGCCTAGATGGGAATATAGGCTGTCTAGGTACTATGTGTTTTTATGTTAGAGTTGGATTGGGTAAACTTAATTTATTTTTTTTGTGTTTGTTGCTCATACAAATCATTTTCCCCTCTTGATAGTAAACGGTGCTGGTTTGGCTATGGCCACGATGGATATAATAAAACTTCATGGAGGGACTCCAGCCAACTTTCTTGATGTTGGTGGTGGTGCCACAGTCCATCAAGTAACAGAAGCATTTAAGCTTATCACTTCAGATAAAAAGGTAAGGGCAGGGCTTATATTTTAGAATTTGAATGGTGAGAAGTAACTTGATTAATTAGCAGATGTGATTGTTACATTAGTTGAACATTAAAATTTAAAAGTCTTCCATTGTTTGAAAACAATGCAATAACAGTTAACTACAGAAAAAGATAAAGTTCCGCATAGTGATTTAGAAAACAAGATGAAGAAATGTTACATTATGTTAGACAATATTTTAAATGGTATGATTTGATATGGGAGCACATGCCTATGAAAAATATTATGAAGATGTTAGTTGACCACAGAAGCCCAGAAATCTGATAAGTCTGTAAAGCTAAAAAGATGAAAATAAAAAATAATCTTTAATTTTATCCAGAGATAACTTTTGTTACTATTGATTTGATCTATTTTCTTTAAGACTTTTTAATGATTTCACATACACACACTCACACATACTACTTATTAAGATACTAGAGGCCCGATGCATGAAAATTCGTGCAAGAGTAGGTCTCCTTCCCCTGGTTACCGGCACTGGCTTCCTTCTGGCACCTGGGACCCAGGCTTCCCTCCTCCTGCTGCTGGCTGCTTCCCTCCTCCGGCCACCTGCAGGCACCCGGGACCCGGGCTAGCTTCCCTCTGGCCCCGGCTTCATCAGGAAGGAAGTCCAGAATGACATCTGGAAGACATTCAGTCTAATTAGCATATTACCCTTTTTTATTGTAAATAACTTACATGGTTCAGCCATTCATGTATATGTCTTTTAATGTACATATTTTGAGTCTTTTATTTTTTTTGACATATTATGAGTACTTTTTGCATTTACTAAGGTACTCTTCTAAACCACCTATTTTAATGTTTGCATAATCTGTCATATGCAGATATGCCATAATGTAGATTTATGAATTTATAAGTGATTATCAATATACAAGGGATGTGAAGCATCATTATCTAAAAGACATACATATTATCAGTCACCAGATACTTTTTAAGCAGTATAGCTACTGTGTGGCCAATGTGGATTTTAAGGCTTATGGAAAAATAAGATAATGGCCACCCTGAAGCTAGTCTTATTGAATTAAGAATGAGAATTCCTCATTGATAGGGATCATATCTTACTCATTGTTGCCTCTGGCAGTGGTTGGCATAATGTACAGTACATGTATAGGTCATTTATAAATACTTATTATTGATGATGTTGACAGTGTACATTTTTGTTTTAGACTCTAGAATTGTTTGAAAAATTATTTTACTGCTCTTTGACTTTGAGCTTATAGACTTATTTGCCATCTTCAATTTCATAAAGAGAATTAAACTAAAATGAAACACAAATTGCTTTATTCTCCTTGTTGAATAATATTTTTTAAAAAGTAAACAAATTTTATTGGAACTATATTTGTATAGCTTCTTTTGGCATAAACTCTAAAAGAGAATTATGTAATTATCTAACTGTTGAGTCCTTTTGAAGGTGAACTGGAATTTTTGTTATATTTTTAAGCATGGCTTTTAGGGCCTAGGTACAAGTATGGATAAATGCATATAAAGAATTCCAGTGTTGAGGACTGACACTAAGAGCATTGGAGTTGGAAACAGTCCTGTAGCCCAGGGAGACAATGTGGATAGCATTGAAGTAGCTGTATACATATTATAACTCTTTGTATTGGACACTGTGCTTGGATTTGGGAATACATCGTCCCTCCCCTCAAGGCATTTACGAGTATAGTCTGACTGGGGTGATAAACTGAATGCAGTGCTGTGGAAGAATACAAGACAACCAATAACTGAGAATCACAATGGCCTTCACTGAATGGATGATACCTTGAGCTATCTTGAGAATTGAATAAGTTTATTTAAAGACATGGAGTTTAGAGACAGCCACTATGTTCATGGAATAAGATGCTTATGTATAAGAATAACATTTTTGGGGCGAATGATAAGAGATAATGTTGAGTCCATATTGTGAAAACCCCTGTACCTATTAAGGAGTTTGGAATTTAACCCCTCTATTCCAGCACATATATATGTATAGATATGTATAGATGTATACACATACACACACACACATATATATATGTACTAGTGTGTGTGTGTGTGTGTGTGTGTGTGTGTGTGTTTTTTTATATATATTCCTTATCTTTTTATTTTCTAAAAAAGGGTAACTTTGCTAGTAGAGTGTGAAATGTAGAGCACGGAGGCACTGGTAGGATAGATCAATTTGGTTGTTATACCTCATTATTAAAAAAAACGAAGAGGTCCTGGCAAAGGTAGTGTAAGAATAAAGCAAAGATATTTAGAAGCATTTCTGAGATACAATCATTAAATTCATTTCTCTTCTTTTTTGGGTAGCTGGGGGGTGTCACTGAGAGCTTAGTTGGATTAACCAACCAGGGGTTGGTTAGGACTTTTGGCTGGGGACAATCATCGGGTGGTGATGATGTCCTTTGTGCCATCAAGAGGCAAAATAGAGAAATATGTATTTCTGAATGTGTTAATTTTGCACTGTGGGGACTGTATCTAGTTTATGGTTATAAAGATATATTTCGTATAATGGTTAGATATATATTTGAGAGTCTTCAGTATATTGAGAAAAGTTGAAGTGTTAGGAGTTGGTGAGATGACTCAAATGAGTGAGATGAGGAAACTAAGAATGAAACTAGCTCTTCACCTACCCCTCTCCTCCATGTTGAAGGATTGAATAAAGAAGCCTTCATATATCTATCCTCCATCTACATATATAAAACCCTAATAATCAGATAGACCAAACAGCAGAACAGCAGAACAACCAGTCGCTATGACATGCATTGACCACAAGGGGGCGCGCGTGGAACATGGCAGGTGCCGGCCACAGTAGGATGGTGGAGCAAGTCAGCGGGAGCACCAGACCAAGGCGAGGCACTGGTCGTTGTCATCAGGGCGAGCCTCTGGTGGTTACTGAAAATTCTTTGCTCCCTTGCGCCACGGTCTCGCCTGGCACTTGCACCCGCTGCTGGCGCTGGAGCCGCTGCCAGTATCTAGCACTGGCTCTGATTGCTCAACGCGGTCGTCAGCAGGTGCGAGTGGTGGCTGCCGGCCCTGATCATCCCTCAGGGCTTCTCCACCTCCCCCTACTCCTGAGGGGTGATCAGAGCCAGCAGTCGCCTCTCACACCCACTGCCGGAGACAGCCCCACTCCCACCCACTGCTGGCACCAGAGCTGCCACTCGCACCCACTACCAGCACCAGTCCCGCACAGCCGGATCTGCTGCTTGCACCCACTGCCGGTGCCCGGCGCCGTCAGTGGGTGCGAGCAGTAGCTGCCAGCCCCAGTCACCCGTGAAGGCTTCTCCACCTCCCCCTGCTCCTGAGGGGCAATCGGAGCAGAGGTTGCCGCTCACACCCACCGGTGTGCCAGCCCCACTCACACCCGCTGCTGATACCAGCCCCAATCGCTCCGCGCCGTCAGCGGGTGCAAGTGGGGCTGGCACTGTCAGCGCGTGGGAGCAGAGGTGACAGGAACAGGGCCGCTGGCAGAGGAGACCTGAGGTCGCAGCAGCATGGGCTGGGCAGGGGCATGGAGGATGGGCCAAAACCTGCCCCTTTGCCCACCACAGCCTCACGGCCCACAGTTCCTTTCAAGGTGCACGAATTCGTGCACTGGGCCCCTAGTCTACATTATAAAGACCAGGGGTCATCATGTCCTAAACGACCAGACAACCGGTCACCAGACGGGGGGAAGTGAGGTGGGCGCAGCGAGGTTGTTAGCCTCCAGCCCAGGCCGGGTGGAGGCCTAACAACCTCGCCACTGCCTTGGCAGCTGCGGATCAAGCCTGGAGAGAGGCAGGTCCTAATCAGCAGCCACAGCGGCTGCTCGCAAGGCCTGGAGAGAGAGAGAGAGGCAGGGCCTGATCAGTAGCTGTTGAGTAGGCTGCAGAACAGGCCCAGAGAGAGGCCTGGAGGCAGAGGCAGGCTTAGGGGTTAAGAGCAATCAGGCAGGCAGGCAGAGGCAGTTAGGGGTGATCATGCAGGCAGGCAGGTGAGCAGTTAGGAGCCAGCGTTCCCAGATTGCAAGAAGGATGTCCCCCAAGGGGTCCCCTATTGCAGAGGGTGCAGACTGGGCTGAGGGCACCCCTCCCCCACCCCTGTGCACGAATTTTGAGCACCAGGCCACTAGTAGAATAATAAGAGAGAGAGAACAAATTGACAGAGATAGTTGCAGGTCAGGTGAGAGTGGTGACATTAAAGGACAGGATGAAGAGTTTTGAGAATTAAGTGGATGGGCAACAGTGTCAGATGTAGGAGCAATCAAGTACACTAAGTACTAAATGAAATGATTAGGAACCTTAGTAAGAATCGTAGAGGAGAGGGGTCCAGCTTCCCGTCAGGTTGTAATGGATTGAGTTAAGATACTTTTTCAGGGCCTTTTTTATGAAGGCATAGAAGGACACAGTGCTAACAGTTGAATGAAAGTAGGGTTGAAGAGAGCTGTGTGGTATATGTTTGCTTGCTTGTTTGGGAGACTAAGAAGATGAGCTATATATTTAGCTGCATGGAGATGTGTATTGGAGAAAGGAGGCTCATGAAGAGAGTAAAAGGTATGAGGCAGATTATTAAGGAAGGAAATGATGATGAATCATTATTATACTGCTCTTTGGTTTATGCTAGTGTTACAGGATGTTTTTTTTTGTTTGTTTTTGCTGTTTTGCTTTCCTTTAAAGTTGGAATGGATAAATGAGTAGGATAGAAACATCCAAGAATGCATTAATTGAATTGGGGTAGTGGAGGTAGACTTGGTATGAGAGAATTGAGCATGCACATGGCATTATCATTGAATTGCTCAGCCATAGGTTCCAGGCTCTCTAGCAGGAGTGGGTAACGTCTGGCCCAAGGACCGTATAAGGCCTGCGAAATTATTTGGTTTGGCCCTGCCAAGGCATAGGGGTGAGAATTAAATGTCTGACCAAATATAGCAGGCTAATTTTTTTTAATATATTTTATTGATTTTTTTACAGAGAGGAAGGGAGAGGGATAGAGAGTCAGAAACATCGATGAGAGAGAAACATCGATCAGCCGCCTCCTGCACACTCCCTACTCGGGATGTGCCCACAACCAAGGTACATGCCCTTGACCGGAATCGAACCTGGGACCTTTCAGTCCACAGGCTGACCCTCTATCCACTGAGCCAAACCGGTTAGTAGCAGGCTAATTTTTAAGTTGATAATTTTGTATGGCCCTCGAATGATGTTATAAATATCCAAATGGCCCTTGGCAGAAAAAAGGTTTCCCCACCCCCACTCCCTTGCTATAGCAAAGAAAGTCATGTTGGTAGAGAGCTGATACATCCAGTGATTAGAAAGGGGTTTAGGGACCAGAGGCTTTAAGAGGAAAAGATTGGGTTTGATAGAGTTAGTGATAAAAGGAATTAGAAGTGAAAGAGGAGGCTGGACAGAAAGTGGGATTTACACATTTGATATTGTAGAGATTCTCTTTCTGGTCAAGGGTTTGTCCTTGGTAAGAATTAGTTGAAATGGACTGGAGATAACAGTAAGAAGGTTGCTTGTGGTCAGAGGCCACTGGCCCAGAGGTGACAGCTGTCCTAGAACCTTCCTAGCTTCCCTAAGAGTTGAGGGAACAATATCTTGGTGTCTATAAGCTATTTATATTGTACTGGCTGAGGAACTCTGGTGTAGGTGAATGAACTACACCAAAGTAAAGTGCATTAAAAATGAAAAGTAGCCTGGCCAGTATGGCCCAGTGGTTGAGCATAATCCTATGAAGCAGGAGGTCACAGTTCAATTCCCTGCCCAGTTACCGGCTGGATCCCCAGTGTCAGGTGTGCAGGAGGCAGCCAGTCAATGATTCTCTCTCATCATTGATGTTTCTCTCTCTCTTTCTCTCTCTCTCTCTCTCCCTCTCTCCCTCTCTCCCTCTCTCCCCCTCCCTCCCTCCCTCCCTCCCTCTCTCCTTCCCTCTCTCTCTGAAATCAATAAAAATATTTTTTAAAAAAATAAAAAGTGAAAAAAAAATTTTTGTACGTGATAGAAAAACAATGATTCAGATTATTGGTGTGATGATGAAAAAATACTGACCCAAACAGAGGTTTGGATGTGATGTGTAGCTAGTAGTGGGCAAACAGAAATTCAGTGATTTTTGAGGGCCTGGTTTGTGTGACGAGTTTGTTGAATTGGGGGGGCTAAGTGAAGAAGAGATGATAGTCAATGAACATAAGTTGGAGCTCTTTATGTGACATTGTCTTACAACATGATCTGGGATATCATGTTGGTGAATGGCTGTGTTTAATAGGAAACAAGTAAAGGAATCAGGTCTTATTCATATGAGACAGAAGAGAAGAGAATATGAGCCAGGTGTTGGAATTACCCGAAGAGGGGGAAATAAATTCTGGTGTGTTTTGGACTGCACAGACTTCAGTGATGGCTGTTTTGTTTAAAAATGGTTCCATGGAATTAAATTTCATCATAAGGTATAAATACTAATATTTTCTTGAGAAGGAAGGACACATACTCATTTCTTTAAAATTTTAATCAACCAAAAACATTCTGTTCACAGGTACTGGCTATTCTGGTCAACATTTTTGGAGGAATCATGAGGTGTGATGTTATTGCACAGGGTATAGTCATGGCAGTAAAGGATTTGGAAATTAAAATACCTATTGTGGTACGGTTACAAGGTGAGTGTAACAGATTTCTTGCAATTGTTATATGAACGCTACTGGCTTAAAAGTTCATGATTCTACTGTGGGTGGTGGGAATAGCACCAGGTGACAGTTGGACCAGACCTGAGTTCAGCAACCTCCATACTTGAGTTCTGTGTGGGAAAGAATTCAGAGACAAGATTCAAGCTATAAGAGAACATTTATTTATAAAATCACAGAGATAGAAGTAATATTTGTAGGAGAAATGAGCTGAGGAAATGAGTTATAGAGGTAAATAAAGGAAGGGCCCTTAGAGCTTGGGAGTGAGGAAGCAAATGGTAAGGTGCTTGGGTGAGGGGGAAGGGAAAGGTGCAGGCATGCTCCTGGGAGGGAGAGTGCTCTGGGTCCTCTATCTTAAGGATTGTTAAGGTTGGCGATTTTAGATGTGGTCCCAGGGGAAGATTTCAGTGGATATTTAGCACTTTTCCAGGTTGTTCTTTCTCCACTAATAGATTGGTCGGTGTCAGGGCAGAGGTCATTACCCAGTGCAGCTGGTCCTGAGATTAGCTTGTCTGGTTTTGCTGCTTTTCTGGGCTTGGAGCTGAAATACAACTGAAGCCTCGATATTATCTAGGGAGGAAAGGTCAGTGTGCCCAAACTGCATGACCATTGATATGCTAAGGGAGGAAAGGTCCTCTGGGGGTAAGGTCCCACCCTACAATTGTCCTTTGCACCTGGGGCTTTTCTTCCTGGTGACCTTCTGTACCAGGCCCATTGTCCTTGCTCTGCTCATGTCTCTCTAACTGCCTACCACAATTCCAAGGAGTTTAGTTCTTTTAAATACAGTTTTCAGATAGCTGTATCTTTTAAATGAAAGTGTTTATATAAGAAACATTCAAATCTGTGAAGAATTTTTGTGAGTTTATTTGAGCCAAACTGTCCACAAATGCTGGGAAGCAGAATCTCAATGGATTGAGTTAATGCTCGGGAGAATGGCAGTTTTGCACCTTCTTTTATACATTACAATAAAGGAGGTGATTGATTTAAGTGGGTTGTTGTAAAATCCATTGGTGATAGATTAGGGAGGCAGGAGAAAGCAAAGCAGGGAAACCTCTAGGATTGGATAAAGAGTAAAATGATAGACACACACGTAGATGAGTGCAGGATAGTTAAGTCAACAATTAACATGGTAATGATAACAATGATAATGAAGGTATTTGTGGTCTCAACTCTGTACTTTGAGGGCTCTGAAAAAGGGAAATTACTTTGTTTTTGCAAAGGCATAGTATCCTAGATGCCAAAAGACAAATGGACAGGCTTAGTTAAGGTGAAGATTTACCTTGTTAAGGAAAAATACTGCCTTAAGACATGACTACACACCATAAATTGCTTTTATTTTTAAAAAGTTTTAATTTTAGACCATGCTTTGTAGTTACTTTAGGTCTCTGAGTTTGCAAGGCCATCACGCAGGCCTTCCCTGAGCTAGTCACGTTAGCATGTGGCCCCTTTTTGTCCACAAAAGTATGTAATTGGAAGTTTTTAAAACATGGTATTAAAAAAATTTCTAACATTGGGGCAAAATTGCTCACAGTTTTGGTTTGTATGATCTAATACATTATTTGTTGTGCTTTTTCGTGAATTCTAAATTGCCATTGATATGGTACTTCACGAGGTAACTAGGTTTTTACAGTATTTTCTTGCTTTAGAGCATGTATTACATTAAATAATGAAATATTCTTATGATGAAATGACTTGTGTATGATTTTGTGTCAATATTTAAAACATCTTTATATTTGCATATCTCATTTTCAGGTACACGAGTGGATGATGCTAAGGCACTGATAACTGACAGTGGACTTAAAATTCTTGCTTGTGATGACTTGGATGAAGCTGCTAAAATGGTAAATAGGCTATGTTTGCAAAGTGTATAAAGGATGTATAAATGTTCCCGATTGGGGTTATCGGCTGGTTCCTGGATTCTTCTCATTGACAATGAAAAGATTTTAAGGTCAACAAAAATGAAAGTAAAGCAAAGTGGGGTTTATTGAAGATAGACTCCAAGCGAGGAGCAGGCCATCCATCCAGGAGAGATAATGGCCCCGAACTCCTGGGTTTAAATGAGGGATTTTCTGGGTGGAGACTCACTTGCATTCAGGAATGATTGACAGAAACGGGTTATATAACTATATTTCTTCTGCACATGCCCTTACCCACAATGCATACAGAAACCCCCAATGCTAATTTTATTATAATTAGTCCAGGGCCCTGGTAAGGTTGCATTGGCATTGAAGTCATGTTGTTTTCCTCTGATCTTGGGCGAAGAATTGGCTGGTTCTGAACCTGCCCACTGGTGGACTACTGGCTGGGTTCGCCCATAGAGACGAGGTTTGAAGGCAGTGTTGGCCCGTCCCTGCTCAGAACCCCAGGGCAGGCCTCACCCCAGCCGCTCGTGTCTAACTTCCTATCTAATGTAAACATTTAGATTCTCAAACGAACCAGCTAATATCACTAAAAATGTGTTTCAGATAAATAGTAGTACTATCTCTTAGACCCAAACTCCTATCCCAATATTGTAAGTTGAAATTTTGTATTTAAAAAACAAACTTATTTAAATGTGGTTTTCATTTATTTAGATGTGATTATACCTATCACCCATCTTAATTATCACCAATATTATTTCATTTGTATTGTTACCTACTTCCTTCCTTGCCCGTGATTATTTTGAAGCAAACCCCAGACATTATTATATCATTTCATACATGTCATCACGAATCTATAAAAGATAAAAAGTAATGATATAAAGAAATTATTTGTTTCAGGTGGGATAGTAATATTATGTTTCTATTTTATAAAAAAGAATCTAGTCAGTGTTGACATTTTTGGGATTCTCTGAAATATATATATATATTTTAATATATTTTGTTGATTTATTACAGAGAGGAAGGGAGAGGGATAGAGAGTTAGAAACATCTATGAGAGAGAAACATCGATCAGCTGCTTCCTGCACACCTCCTACTGGGGATGTGCCCACAACCAAGGTACATGCCCTTGACCGGAATCGAACCTGGGACCCTTCAGTCCGCGGGCCGACGCTCTATCCACTGAGCCAAACCGGTTAGGGCTGAAATATATTTTGTCTATGTTCTTCATTAGTATTAGGATCACAGTAATTCTATGCATTGCAGTTGGTTAATATGTTAAAAGTTTCTGTTAACCTATAAGTTCACTTTTGTTTATTTTCCTGGAGTTTATTTTTGAAAAGACAAGTTGATGATCTTACAGTGTTTCCCGTAGTCAGAATATTAATGATTTTAATCCCTGCGGTGTCCTCTACCCCTATATTTCCTGTAAACTGGTAGTGTTGGTCTGTAGGCTTGATCATATATGTATTTGATTTGGGGGAGCAGGGAGCAAGAATATTTTATAGTTGATGTGTAATTCTATAAGGAAGTATATAGTTAATGTCAGATTATTTCTCTTTTTGTGATACTGCCAATCATTGACAATTATAGCTTAGGTATAAAATTTCATAAATGCAAAGTGGTGATAATCTAATTCTGTCATTTAATGGAATACTTAAAAAAAGTGAAAATCCTTTATATCAACTACTTATTATGAAGTAAATTTTGCATAGGAAAAGCAGGACAGTTACTTGATTTTGCATTTATTGATGAGTTTTCAAAATAATGGGTTTGTTCCCATTAATGTCCTACAGAAGTGACGTAGGCTTTTTGTTTCTTTTTTAAAAGTTTTTAGTGTGTGTGTGTGTATTGTTTGTGTTGTGTGTGTACGCACATATGCACGTATTATTTTTCACTCGGATTTAAACCTATTTGATGTGGTTCAATCCATTTCAGTAATTGTTATTGGTGCTCAAATGATCCCATCTTTAGTCAATGGGAACCTCTTCAAGTTGGCTCCTGAGTCTTTCTCACATGCCCTGTGATATACTTTCTGGTTTGATAGATGTCCTAGGCTCATTTTTACATTTTTTGCTTAAGATCTGAAATCAGCAAAATGGTTTTTAGAGATCACAAGGGTACTCACAGCTACAGGGTTGTTAGTTGTTTCCAGGCTTTTAAAATGGTAAATCTAGGAAAATATGTATTTTTTAAAGAGCTAAATACATGAGTACATACTGATATTTCCAATCCAGTAGTACAGTTCTTTTCTTATCTCTCCCATGTCATATTGACATACATATAAATATTTATTTACTTTGTCCCTCAAAACAGACATTATAATTGTACAGAAATAATACCAACAATATGATTACTGAAAGCAATTTAAGATTTGTATGTGCAGTTCTTTCTGTCCTTTGAAGTATTTTTCATAACTTACTGGATTTTAAAATTCATGTAAAATAGCTCTGTTTTATCCCAGCTTGGTATATAATTAGTATCATTTAATTTTTTAAAGAAATTGCTCTTAAAAAAACAATTTTTGTTTTGTATTATATAAGTATTTACATGGTTCCAAAGTCATAAGTATAAAACAAAGTATATTCAGAGAATCTAACTTTTATACCTGTATCTGTTTCTTCCTTTCCCATAGGTAACCAGCTTTAAAAAAAAAAAAAGAATTTTAGTTCATTTTTTAAGCAAATTGTGTGTGTATAACACATATGTATGTATGTATGCACACACATATATCTGTCCACTTTCCCTCATTATCTGATTATTACGTATATTTTACCTCATTTATTTTACTTAACATTATATTTTAGTGCACAGTCCATAGTAGATATAGAGATGTTCCTAAATGAGAACTTTTCCCACCTATATTTAAAGACAATTCTTGGAAGAGCTGTATGGTTTAATCAGTAACAGGCTTTTGAGATTTGCTGCGTTAATATATCATTTCATAAGAATAATAAAGTGTTCTGTTTTTCTTTGGGACATACTCTAGGAAAGTACCTATTAGTAAATGGAATTCAACTGCAGTTTAGAGACAGAGGGTCTTATACTCAATCCTGAGTTTAAATTAAGATTTTGAGCATGGGAATGGCAGGGAGAAAGCCTATTTTGACTTTGAGATGTGGTATAAACTGTTCAATGGAAAAGTGAAGGATAGTAGGAGTCTGTCTAGGGCATTAATTAGATGTGATGTGAGGTGAAGGTTATGGATAGGTTTTAACTTGTCTCTGAAAATATGCTTGTTTTCAGTGAGAGCTTGAATTAAGAAAAGCTTTGTGGACATGGAAAGAAAGGAGAAGACTCAGATAGACGATGAAAGATAAAACAGTTGGTTTAAGTTGTGACTGCTATGTTTTCTACTGACTAAGATTATGGAAGTCATGACAATATTAATAATAATGTAATGATATTAGCAGCTGCTACCATTTATCAAGTATTTATTGTGCTTGCAATGCTAAATTATTTTCTTCAAATACTATCTTATTATGAGTTTGGTGATATAATCTCATTTTTATAGATGAGGGAACAGAGGCTAGATAAATTAACGTATTCAGGATCATAAGCATTAGAGATGGAATTTGAAACCAAAGTGGCTAACTAAAACCTTCTCTTATCTACTCTATAGGAGAGGAGAGAAGCTGAATTTATTATTTGGTTTTAGACATTAATTGTCTATTTTGTATGGTACCAACAATAAAATGCTAACTTCTAGAACCAAATTCCTATCCAATATTGTTAAGATTGTATACTTTAGAGAAAAAAAAAAAAGACAAAACTTATTTATATGTGATTTGCATTGTGTAGTACTTAACATACTATTTTTGTATTTAGGCAATAAAAGCAGGTATATACATATATTCAATACTTTCTAATTTTATAGATATTATTGAAAGTATTGAAGTGTGGGTTATTAAGAGTGTTAGATTTGAATGGCAAATGCTTATAAGAGTGTGAAGTGATTGATGTCAGAATAGCTCACATTTTAAATGAAAAAGATTGAATGTGCATCAATTTCACGTTGACCAATAGTTCTTATTTTTATGTTTTAGTGAAAATAGAGACAAAGATGGTTGTTGTTTTTTTTCTTTCAGGTTGTAAAGCTCTCTGAAATAGTGAACTTAGCCAAACAAGCCCAGGTGGATGTGAAATTTCAGTTGCCGATCTGATCTGAGAATCCAGTGGATGGCTGAAGGTTTTAAATGTGCTATAATCATTAAAAATACTGTGTTCTGTGTTATTAGTGTTCCTTTTCTCATTCATGTGTGAAGACTATAATTGCCATCTAGGCATAAAAACTTTGAAAAGCATTTGTTCTGCATTTAATTCTATTGAGAATGGGCTGTTTGTATAAAGAATGTGTAAGGCAGTTATCTAGTTTCTTTTGTTGCAGCCTCCTTTTTCACTTCTACAGAATGCCATTTGCAATATGCCAGTTTATTTTTGTTGGATACATCGTTCTTCATTAATATGAGTCCTATGAATAAAATAAATCTGAAGATAAAGCTTTATTCTTTAGTGTTAGAAATATTATATCTAATAACTAGCCTTATTAGTAGAGCAATGTATTAAAACAGTGATGGCAAACCTATGACACGCGTGTCAGAGGTGACGCGCAAACTCATTTTTTTGGTTGATTTTTCTTTGTTAAATGGCATTTAAATATATAAAATAAATATCAAAAATATAAATCTTTGTTTTACTATGGTTGCAAATATCAAAAAATTTCTATATGTGACACGGCACCAGAGTTAAGTTAGGGTTTTTCAAAATGCTGACATGCCGAGCTCAAAAGGTTCGCCATCACTGTATTAAAACAGTGTTTTATATAAGAAGTGTTTATCTTCAACACCAAATACCTAACTAAGTATATCAATCACTATTTATAAACAGAGCTTTCAAACACTCCTCAGAATATTCTTTTAAATATTTCAGTGAAGTAACTTAATTATTTGAACATTATCTTAATTGTTACAAAACACCGGTAACTGCAAGTCTTTATGATCCTGTGGTATTGAGAAGAACCTGTAGGTTTTCGCCAAATAAAGGCATATATACTAAGGACTTGTCATTCTAAATTAACAATGTCAATTTAAGTTAATAAAAATCTGGATAATGTTAATAAATAATGGATTAATGTTTTCTTTTTTAAGTAAGCTTAACAGTATATATACCATGGCAGAAAATATCAGCCAAGCAGTAGACTATGAATGTAGTAGTGATGAATTTGAGAACTTCTATTTATTTGGATGGTCATAAAGTGTGATCAGATATACATACTGTGAGAGGTATCATACATAGCATAGTGATTATGAGCACAGAATTTGAAAGTCAACCATCTTGAATCTTGGCTCCACTGCTTATTAGCTATATGAGTTTGAGCAAGTTTCTACATTTCAGTGTACCTCTGTTTCCTTAGCTCCTTTCTCATTCTCTGGGATTATTTAATGGGGGAGAGGAGAGAGAAAATTATTCAAGAGAACATACAAAATATATACTCAAACTGAATATCATTATCTGTTCAAGTTGATCATGTATTTACCTACCTACCTATCTTCCCTACCATATTAAAGACTAAGTGGAACCACGGAACTGTTTGAAATTGTGATAAAGGTATAATTAAAAGTCTAAGCCTTTAGCTTTTAATTTAAAATTTTCTTTTTTAAAAAATTCATTCCAAGGAATGCCAGACAATGAATGATTAGTTCAGAAAAGATTGGCGTTTGTATTAGTCGGTATCTAGTCAGGCATTAAAAAACAATGCTTGGTATTTCGGAGAAAATATAATACATGCTGTTGGTGATATTAGTGTTTTAGTTATCTATTCTTGCATAATATAGTCATGGGTTGCTTAATGACAGGATACATTCTGAGAAATGTGTCCTTGGGGGATTTTGTCATGCCACCATCAGAGTGCACTTACACCCACCTACATCTACCATGGTACAGCCTATTGCTCCTGTGCTACCAACCTGTACAGCATATTGGTGTTGAATACTGTGGGCAATTGTACCACAATGGACACTATTTGTGTATCTAAACATAGAAAAGGTACAGTAAAAGTATGGTATAAAGATTAGAAACTTATACACCTGTATAGGGCACTTACCATGAATGGAGCTTGCAGGACTGGAAGTTGCTCTGGGTGATTGGTGAATGAATGTAAAGGCGTAGGACATCACTGTACACTTAGGCTATGCTCAATTTGTAAAATAGCATGAGGACTCCTAGACTTAACCATACTCCAACCATGTCAAACTCGCAGCCCACGGGCCGCATGTGGCCGACAACAAATATTTTGGCAGCCTAGCCAATATAACGGTATGTAAGAAACGTTTTAATAAAAATTTCGTAATTTAATTTTTACAATGCCTGTTACACATAATTATTAATAACGAACTACAACGTTTGCTAATGACTGATTACTATAATCGCATTGCATTCATTTCCCTTACGCATCTTATGTGCAGGCTCACCATTTCTCCCCACTAATACTAGCAGCGAATACTTTAGCACCGATTGCCACATCAGTCTTGTACTGACTTGTAAGGTGTGCACAACAGGAAATATTTCACTTTCAGAAAACAAGAAAAATAGGTTTATTTGTGTTACACTTATTAATACGTGGAGTTATTCAGTGTCTGGTAAGTTTATGTTCAAGAAAAAATATTTTTATTAAAATGTTCTATTTTATGTTAACGATTACTCATTTATTTCAGCCCTTTCTATCCAGCATGGCTTTATCAAAATAAACCTACGTTTCTATGGAAATTGAAGCTTTTGTTTTGTTGCGGCCCAATAAACTTAACCCTTGTTTATTTGGCCCGTGTTAGCCTTTGAGTTTGACATGCTTGCTATACTCTATCTATGGTAGGCAGAATAAGGCTCCTTCACGGAGGTCCACACCCTAATCCTGGAACCTGTGCATGTGTTATATTACATGGCAAAGGCACTTTGCAGATGTGATTAAAGCTGTGGACCTTAAAATAGGGGAATTATCTTGTATTATCCCTGTAGGCCTGTGTTTGTCTCTGGGCTTCTGTACCAAAACACCATAGACAACAAAAATTTGTTTCTCACAGTTCTGAAGGCTCAGACATCTAAGGTCAAGGCACCAGCAATTCAGTGTCTACTAAGAGCCTACTTCCTGGTTCATTGACAATGCCTTCTTACTGTCCTCATGTGGTAGAAGGGACGAGGGAGCTCTCTGGAGTCGCTTAGAAAGAGCACGAATCCTAATCACAAGGGTTCCACTCATGATCTATCAGCTCCCAAAAGCCCCACCTCCAAATACTATCATGTTGGGCATTGGGTTTCAACATAAGAATTGTGTGTGGGGGGTGGGGGGGTTGTACAAATATTAAGTCCATAGCAAGACCCCATCTAATCACATAAGCCCTTAAAAGCAAAGAATGGTCTCCAGCTGGAGGCAAGAAAGATGCTGCGGAAGGGGGCAGTTGAGAAATTCCAAGCATGAGAATTCAGTGCACCCTTGTACTGCTGAGATGTGGGAATACATGTGTTAAGACTAGAGAGAGACAGAAAACCAAGATGGTGGCATAGGTAAACACCGGAAATTGCTGCCTCCCACAACAACTTCAAAAATACAACTAAAAGACAAAACGGACATCATCCAAAACCACGGGAAGGCTGGCTGAGTGGAAATTCTACAGCTAGAAGGAAAGAGAAAAGCACTGAGACTCAGGAGGTGCGGAAGTAAAGTGCAGAAGTAAGGAGGCGCACGCGGCAAGGGCTGCCAACTGAGGACTCGCTGTCTTTTTGAATCGGGAGGGAGTCTCAAGCCCCCGACTGCTCTGAACTCCAGTTCCGGGAAGTCTGGGGACCCAGACTCATACGGGGAGAAACTGGACTGTCTGGCAGCGGGCAGAACTCAGAACTCGAGGGCGGCTTTCTCTCAGAGGTGCCTGCAGCGATTACCGGGACACTGAGATGCCAGGCCCCTTAGGGCAGGGCTGAGGATCAGCCATAGCTGTTTGCTCCGCCCTGTTGATTCCCTGAAACCCCGCCCCACCCAAGCTGCGGCAGAGGCTTTTGCCTATGAATGCCCTGGCCCTTTGCAATCTGAAAATTACCCAACAAATTACAGCTGGGCCAAACACACCCAAAACTTCCAAGAGAAGGCCCAAGACCCCACAGCAGCTTGCATTGCTTCACACCTGGACCTCATCTGGGCACCTCCAAACCCCAAACAAGGAAGGGGAATCTGCAGCTCTCTTCATAGCTCCTGCTGGGTAACCTCAGGCAGAGGCTAAATTAGCACCTCCTTAGATCCAAGAGCCAGATTACAACTCCTCAGATCCATAAGGGACACACTCAGGGGCAGACTCAGTGAGCACCAAAGCCCCACTGAAGCAAGTCTTGCCCCAGAGAGGTGTCTCCAGCACAGAAGTTCTCCCACTGCAGACACAGCTGATTCTTACAGCCAATTGGCCGGGAGGTCAATTCCTCCCAGTGATACCTACAACAACCAAGGCTTAACTACAACAAGACTGTGCACAACACCCACAAAGGAGTGCACCAAGAGTGTCCACCTCAGGTAATTGGGGAGGCTGAGCCACTGGGCCCTTTAGGACACCTAACACAGAAAGCCACTCTATCAACACAGGGAAGCATAAAAAATGCAGAGACAAAGAAACAGGACACAAATGACAGAAATGGAGGAAAGTAAAATACTGGATATAGAGTTCAAAACCACCCTTAAAAGGTTTTTCAAGAACTTTCTAGAAATCGCCAATAAGTTTAGTAAGACCCTCAAAAAGTCTTGTGAGACCCCCGATAAATGCAGTGAGACCCTCGAGGTTATGAAAAAAGACCAAGTAGAAATTAAGCATACACTGACTGAAATAAAGGAAATTATGCAGAGTTCCAACAGCAGACTAGAGCATCCCAAGAATCAAGTCAAAGATTTGAAGTACGAAAAAGCAAAAAACACCCAACCGGAAAAGCAAAATGAAAAAAGAATCCAAAAATACGAAGATAG